CACCTGGGGACCGCACCTCACTCACCCTGCATGACAGGGACACCCAGGACCGCGCCTCACTCACCCTGTACGTGACAGGGACACCCGGGGACGGCGCCTCACTCACCCTGCACGTGACAGGGACACCTGGGGACCGCGCCTCACTCACCCTGCACATGAAAGGGACACCCGGGGACCGCACCTCACTCATCCTGCATGACAGGGACACCCCGGGGACAGCACCTCACTCACCCTGCATGACAGGGACACCCGGGGACAGCACCTCACTCACCCTGCATGACAAGGACACCCGGGGACCGCACCTCACTCACCCTGCACGTGACAGGGCCACCTGGGGACCGCACCTCACTCACCCTGCATGACAGGGACACCCAGGACCGCGCCTCACTCACTCTGCACGTGACAGGGACACCGGGGGACCGTGCCTCGCTCACCCTACATGACAGAGACACCCGGGGACCGCGCCTCACTCACCCTGCACGACAGGGACACCCGGGGACCGCGCCTCACTCACCCTGCACAGGATGGGGCACCCAGGGACCACGCCTCACTCACCCTGCACGAGACAGGGGCACATTGTGACCTCATCTGAAATCAGAGAATAGCAGTGATGACAGGCAGAGTCCTGATCAGAGAACTCAAACTCTCCTCCACGAAGGAAGCTGGAGCGCAAAAAAGCAAAAATGGGTTGCATGACGATTATCTGACTCGGCGTGGTCCACCTGAGCTGCAGCAGGTGTCAGGCAGCTGCTGTTCGATGGGTAGGGACTTCCAGTCACGCAAGACACAGCAGTTCAAGCAAACTGCTGTAAACACTAGGCTGACTTAGCCATTCTGCACTGTACACAGAAAACCGTGTTAGGAGAGCCAATCTCACGTTATATGACTTTTGCCACCATTAAAAGAAAAAAAAAAGAGCCCAGGAAGGTCACCTCCTTGTCTGCACGGCCAGAAATCTTAAATGTCTCGGGAGTTTGTGGGGAGGGGGTGAAATCGGGACTTCTTCTGGCTGCCACTGTAGGGCCTGGGAGCACTGGGAGCCAAAAGGAGGCTGGAGCAGAGGTGCCTCAACATCAAATCCAGAAAAACAGGGTGGGGACACGGCAGGGCTCAGCAGCACCATCCCCTGAACACCTACAAGCACTGTCCCTTCCCTGAGCAGGTGGAGCCATTTGCTGTCCTCTGCTCCCACGTGGCCCTCTTCATACCTAAAGACGGGACCAAGATCTGTGCTGGAGGACAGTCTCATCTCCCTCCTTCTACCCTGTCCTGGCACAGTCAACAAACAATTTTTTTGTTTTTTTAAGACAGAGTTTCACTCTCATCACCCAGGCTGGAATGCAAGGGCACAATCTCAGCTCGCTGCAACCTCCACCTCCCGGGTTCAAGTGATTCTCCTGCCTCAGCCTCCCAAGTAGCTGGGACTACAGGCACACACCACCATGCCCAGCTACTTTTTGTAATTTTAGTAGAGACGGGGTTTCACCAAGTTGGTCAGGCTGGTCCTGAACTTCTGACCTCAGGTGATCCACCTGCCTCAGCCTCCTAAAGTGCTGGGATTAAGGCGTGAGCCACAGCACCTGGCCTTCAACACGCAATTAAATCTTAAACACAAACCTGCATATTGGCTGACCACGTGTACCTGCAACACCCTTACCTCCCATCCCCAGGAAGAGGGGGTTCTCCTCCCCACCTCTCATTCCCATCTTTGAAATTTCGAAGGGGATTATAGGTAATCCGCAGGGACCCTCGCCAGAGCATCTGTGCTTCCAGACGCTTCTCCCCATTGCCGGCAATCCGGCTCCACTGCCGTGCCCAGCCTCCTCTGTTTACTGCTCTGGCCTCAGTGCCTGGAAACTGTGTGTCCATCAAAACGTGAAGGTGAACCTCGTAAGTTTATGCAAACTGGACAGGAGGGAGAGCAGAGGCAGAGATCACCTTGTCCACTCGACGTGCAGAGCGAGAAGCCACATATGCCCACTTGACGATGGAGACTGGGGGACCAGGGCTCTGCCTGCTCCCTTTTCTGAGCCCCCTACTGCATTCAGCTCTGGGGCCTGGGCCCTCGACGGCCACCACCTCCTCACCTGGGCTCCTGCGCAGCCAAGCACAGTCCCGCACGCTCATCTTCCACGTCAGCTCCCGCAGGGAGAGCTTGGCATGCTTCCCCAGAGAGATGAACTTCTTGGTGTTCCTGAGGAAGCGGCGTTGGTTGTGCCTGGAGCCCCAGAGGCCGGGGGGCACCAGCCGGCGCAGGCAGGCCCGCACGAAGCCGTACACCTGCCAGGGGCTGCTGTGCTGGCGAAGCAGCTGCACCAGGCGACGGCGGTCTGTGTCCTCCTCCTCGGGGGCCGCCACTGAGCCCTGGGGCTTCTCCCGAGCACAGACACCGGCTGCTGGGGTGACCGCAGCCCGCAGCGGGCAGTGCGTCTTGAGGAGCGCCCCGTAGGGGCACTGCGCGTGGTTCCCAAGCAGCTCCAGAAACAGGGGCCGCATTTGCCAGTAGCGCTGGGGCAGGCGGGGCGGCCTGCGGGGAGTCCCTGGCATCCAGGGCCTGGAACCCAGAAAGATGGTCTCCACGAGCCTCCGGGCGCCAGTCAGGCTGGGCCGCAGGGAGTTGAGTAGGAAGGAGGGCCGCAGCTGCTCCTTGTCGCCTGAGGAGTAGAGGAAGTGCTTGGTCTCGGCGTACACCAGGGGACAACGCGTGTCCCAGGGACTTGGTGGCCGCGATGTGGATGGGGGGCCCGCGTGGTGCTGGCGGCCCACGGATGGGTGGGAGTGGCGTGTGCCAGAGAGCGCACCCTCCAAAGAGGTGGCTTCTTCGGCAGGTCTGGCAGGTGACACCACACAGAAACCACGGTCACTCGGTCCACGCGTCCTGTCCGGGTGGGCCCAGGACCCCTGCCCAACGGGCGTCCGCTCCGGCTCAGGGGCAGCCCCACGCCTGGGCCTCTTGGGCAACGGCAGACTTCGGTTGGCACTACCCCGGCGCCTCCTCGCACCCGGGGCTGGCAGGCCCATGGGGACCCCGGCCTCCCTGACGCTACGGTTCCAGGCCAGTTCGCAGCCCAGACCCCTTCGGGTTCCACTCGCGTGTGGCGCGGGCCGGCCCTGAGTGGCAGCGCCGAGCTCGTACAGCGGCGGCCCGCACACCTGGTAGGCGCAGCTGGGAGCCACCAGCACAAAGAGCGCACAGCGTGCCAGCAGGTGAACCAGCACGTCGTCGCCCACGCGGCGCAGCAGCAGCCCCCACGCCCCGCTCCCGCGCAGTGCGTCGGTCACCGTGTTGGGCAGGTAGCTGCGCACGCTGGTGGTGAAGGCCTCCGGGGGACCGCCGCGGGCCCCGTCCAGCAGCGCAAAGCCGAAGGCCAGCACGTTCCTCGCGCCGCGCTCGCACAGCCTCTGCAGCACCCGGGCTACCAGCTCCTTTAGGCAGGACACCTGCGGGGGAAGCGCTCTGAGTCGCCTGCGCTGCTCTCCGCATGTCGCCGGTTCCCCCCGGCCGCCCTCAACCCCCGCCGGACACGGACCCTGGGGAGGCCCACCTGGCGGAAGGAGGGGGCGGCGGGGGGCGGCCGTGCGTCCCAGGGCACGCACACCAGGCACTGGGCCACCAGCGCGCGGAAAGCCGCCGGGTCCCCGCGCTGCACCAGTCGCCAGCCCTCGGGCCCCAGGCGCTGCACGAACGTGGCCAGCGGCAGCACCTCGCGGTAGCGGCTGCGCAGCAGGGAGCGCACGGCTCGGCAGCGGGGAGCGCGCGGCATCGCAGGGGTGGCCAGGGCCGGGGCCTCCCACGTGCGCAGCAGGACTGGGCTCTGCCTCCAACCCGCGCCGCGAGGAGAGGGCGGGGCTGCGGAAAGGAAGGGGAGGGGCTGGGAGAGCCTGGAGGGGGCTGGGCCGGGGACCCGGGAGGGGTCGGGAGGGGGGCGGGGTCCGCGCGGAGGAGGCGGAGCTGGAAGGTGAAGTGGCGGGACGTGCAGCGCGGTCCCGGGCGTCTGCGCCCGCGAATCCACTGGGAGCCCCGGCCTGGCCCCTACCGCGGCTCCGGGCGGACCCCGGGGTCTGGGCCGCGCTTCCCCGCTCGCGCGCCGCTCTGGCTCCCAGGGTGCAGGGACCCCAGCGAGGGCCCCAGCGGAGAGGGGTCGAATCGGCTTAGGCTGTGGGGTAACCCGAGGGAGGGGCCGTGATGTGGGGGCCCTGGGAACAGGTGCGAGCGGCGACCCCTTCGCCGCTTTCTCAGCTGGGCCTGATCCCGAGACCCAGGGCTGCCCCCAGGTCCGGACGCGGGGCGTCAGGCTCCGGGCACCGCGAATGCCAGGCGTGAAGGGGAGGACGGAGGCACGTAGACGCGGCTGGAGACTAACCCGAGGACACAGCAGCGCTCCTTGGACGGGCACGCGGAGGCTCCCGGAGCGCCTCCCTGCAACACTTCCCCGAGACTAGGGCTCCTTGACACAGGCCCGTCATTTCTCTTTGCAGGTTCTTAGGCGGCGAGGGTTCCCCACCATGAGCAAACCACCCCAAATCTGTTAATCACCCACCGGGGCGGTCCCGTCGAGAAAGGGTGGGAAATGGAGCCTCACACCCGCGACAGCTGCCTTGACCCTGGGCCCGGGCACTCTACTAGCAGATGAGGCCAACCTCCGGTCACATCCCGCCCGCACAGGGAGGAGAGCAGCTCCGGGGGGTCCAGGCACCTGGCTCCAAGCCTCGGACTGCAGAGCCAGGAGGCCCGACTTCCAGCCCAGCAGTAGAAGCCACACGGCTGCTGGGCCCCTCCAGACCTGGGGCCATGGCACATCCGCAGGACAGCTGAGGACTTCCCAGGAACCCAGACTCTGGGATGCTCAAGTTTGGATCTAAGGGGCGAGAAACTTCTGAGTCTCCCGAGGCCTTGCAGGGATGCTGTAGCTGAGGACGGCAAACACTGAAATGCTAACAAATGCAACCTTAAATGTAACCTTTCCTACTTTCAGAAACTGGCGGAGGAAATTGCTTTATTTATGGAGCTAGCATTTGAACAGGCCTGGCACCCTCCCTGGGCCGTCACACTCGCTGGAGGTTAGCCTCGTCTTGTAAATACTTGGGATTACAGGTCGCTCTTCTAGAAATCCCCTTAGTGAGCCCGAAGGCTTTTTAAAGGGCTGTGTTTGTGAACTGGCTGTGCCACTAGGGCAAAGGGGTGGTTTGGAAAATTTGTTCCAACAAAAGTTAAGGTTGTAGCTTACTCTGGTTCCCCCCAGAGAAACCAACATAGAAAACATAATTTTAAAAGAGGGAATAGAAGAAATGGAGGCAGAAGATTACACTGGAGTAATTAACACCACGTCCATGGTGAGGAAACGCCTCCCAGCGTTCGATGAAGATCGCTGATAGCCAGAAGACACCCCAGTATTACGGGCGCAGTTAGTCTGTCTTTGAACAGTTGATGATGTCTTAGTCATCACAGTGTAAAACATCAAGAATGTTCTAACAACAACAAAAACATTCTATCATTGGCTTAAAACACGACACCTGAGTGGGGTGAGCGTCCTACCTCAGACCCAGATGTTTCTAACCAGGGTAAATTCTGAGCTGGGCGCAGTGGCTCACGCCTGTAATCCCAGCACTTTGGGAGGCCAAGGCTGGCGGATCATCTGAGGTCGGGAGTTCGAGACCAGCCTGGCCAACACGGTGAAACCCCGTCTGTACTAAAAATACAAAAAATTAGCTGGGCATGGTGTCGCGTGCCTGTAATCCCAGCTACATGGGAGGCTGAAGCAGGAGAATCACTTGAACCTGGGAGGCAGAGGCTGCAGTAAGCCGAGATCGCGCCACTGCACTCCAGCCTGAGCAACAAGAGTGAAACTCCGTCTCAAAACAAACAAACACACACACGAAACAGAGTGGATTCTGTACCAGCAGTGAAAAATAAAGTATCATTCCTTCCTCCACAGGAGTGAGAGGAACTCCTCTGCCCTGGGGGGATGGGGAGGGGACGCATCACCTGTAGAATAGGAGGGATGGACTTCAATTTCTACTTGAATTTCAGTGTTTCAGCACACACGGAGACATGGAGATTCAGGACGGTGTCCACACTCACGCCCTGATTCTACATCGGGTTTCTCCTGGCAGATGGAGACCCGCTGGGACCTGAGGCCTGCAGCCTCCCAGCTGCTGGCAGAGTGGGGGTCATCCCCTGCAGTGGGTCCCACGGCATAACAGGCGGTCACAGAAACTGTGAATACGTCAAGAGATGGTATATCCCCAGTCTGTGAGGAATTAGAGAAAATATCAAAGGAGGGTAACTCCTGAGTAAAGGGGAGATTGAACTCCATGAACTCCCGACCAGTGGGTGTGACTTGAGCCCAGGGAAGTTTTAAAACGGTTAAACAGGCCGGGCGCGGTGGCTCACGCCTGTAATCACAGCACTTTGGGAGGCCGAGGCGGGCAGATCATCTGAGGTCTGGAGTTTGAGATCAGCCTGACCAACATGGTAAAACCCCATCTCTACTAAAAATACAAAATTAGCCGGGTGTGGAGATGCACACCTGAAATCCCAGCTACTTGGGAGGCTGAGGCACAAGAATTGCTTGAACCCAGGAGATGGAGGTTGCAGTAAGCCGAGATCACGCCACTGCACTCCAGCCTGGGTAATAAGAGCAAAACTCTGTCTCAAAAAGTAAGTAAATAAAATAAAAGAGCTAAATAAATCACTTGTGCCTGCCCTGCCCCTGCCCAGAGGCGCTTCGGACCTGTCCTTGGCTGTTTCTGTAAAGTTTGGTTTTGAAATAATCCTAGATTCACAGTGCATGGGTTTCCTGTGACTTCTGCAAATCCCCACACACTTCATGCTAGAAGGGCAGCACGGGTGCCCTCCTGTGGCACAGAGGCTGGAGGTCCACGATGGGCCCTGGAGGGCTAAGGGCCAGCCGTGCCTTCCTGCTGCAGGCTCTGTGGAGGGTCCCTTCCCCGCCTTTTCCAGCTTCCGGAGGCACTTGCAGGCCTGGGCTCGAGGCACCTCCTCCCTTTTCAGCCTCAGACGGACTCTGCCTCCATGTTCCGAGGCTACCCCACTCTGACCCTCCTGCTCGCCTCCTCCCAGAACCCCTGGATTACTTTTCGGCCCTGCAGGTAATCCCAAATGATCCTGGACCTCAGGTTCCTCACGGTGATCACACCTGCAAAGGTCCTGGGGCCGGGCAGGTTCTGTCCACAGGTCTGGGGGAATCAGGATGCGGGCGTCTCTAGGGCATTATCCTGCCCAGGACATTCGGGCATGGCAAAGATGGCACAGCCTCCGGGTTCCCCCATCCCCACTCCCCCATGGTTAGTCTCCCATAACTGAGCCAATACTCTATCAGAACCAGGAAACTGGCTTTAGTAAAAGGTGGGTGCAGTAGCCCCCTGCTCCTGCCCCCACCATCCCTAACCCCTTTAACCACTCCCCTGCCCTGGGGTGAAATTTTCTCATTTTGAGCATGTTGTGTATGTGGAGTCCTATCCCGTGGAGGTGGCAGTTTTGACTCGGCATAATTCCCTTGAGACGCCTGAAGGCTTTGTATACGGCGTGTTCCTCTTCACTGCGGAGGAACTGTCCACAGCGCGGATGGACCAGTTTGTTTAACCAGTTTGTTAAAGACGTTTTAGCAGGGCTTTCCCCACTTTGTAACTATTAAACTAAAACTGCAGTGGACGGTCGTGGACGGGAGTTTGTACATTATGTGCGTAATCACGTGAATTCCGGGGCTGTGGGATAAATGTCCAGGAGTACCACTGCCGGGTCTTTTGGGAAGAGGATGCTTAGTTCTTGTGGAAACTGCCACCCTGTGTTCCAGAGGGAGGAGGGCAGGAAAGTGCTGAGCAGAGAAGCGCGGGTCCCTGGCAAGGGCTCCATACCCAGGCCTGTGCCCATGGACCTAGGTGAGGACAGGCACTCCTACCTTCACACCCAAATGTTGCATTTCCCAAGAGCCCCCTGGCCTGCCACACCCCCGTCCTGTGCCTATAAAAACCCGGAGACCCTAGCGGGCAGACACACGCGGCTGGACGTGGACAGGAGCACAGAAACAGAAAACACACCGGCAGGTCCCGGCAGATGACAGGAGCCGGGAGCGCCTGGAAATGGAGGTCAGCATGCAGCCAGACGCCAGGAACCTGCACCAGGGGCCACGAGCCAGCTTCAGGCTCAGAGGAGCCGGTCTGGGAGGCGCAGAATCTCCTCCCTTCAATGCGTGTGAGTGTCGGGGAAGGAGACAGACACTCCATGTAAGGAGGAACCGTGCGAGCTGCGCTGCTGAGACAAGACAGGGGAGACAGCAGCCCTGGAACGTGGCCCACCCAGGGTTTAGGAAGCTGCTGGAGAAGCTGAGCCCTGGAGAAGCTGAGCCCTGGAGAAGCTGAGCCGTGGAGAAGCTGAGGCCTGGAAGCAGGGGGTGTGGGGACAGGGCTGGCCTCAGTGTGGCACCCCGGGGTAAGTCTCTAGGGCAGATGGCTCCCTTGGGAAGCAGCAACCAGGCCCTAGAGTCTGGGGGATTGCCTGCCAGGGCAGCCTCAGGGTCCTGTCTCCCAGGGTCTCCTACTCTAAAGAAACAGATTGTTCCACTCACTGTTGTCACCCCAGCCTGGTGACTGAAAGTAGCCTCATCTCTCTTGGACTCTCATACATCAGGGATGTGGGCAGGGCTCTATGGGCCTCGTAAAAGAATGGTGTTTGTATTGAGTTTTGTCATGCCTTGTCATGCCTGAAGAAGTTGCTGGAATCGTTCAGTCCTTAAGGGTGAAG